CCCAAAATAAAGAATTTCCATCTCCTATTTGTTCCGTAGATTGGCCGTTGAACTTTACTGGGCCGCTCGTAACACGATATGGTGATAGTTGGAGCCGCCCCCGGAAAGCGCGGTGCCCCCTCTCTGTCCCTTTTGCTCTCTCTCCTTCCTCGTCACTCTCGCGCGCAGGGGGTCGTGTCCGTCCGCCGCGCGAGAGAGTAAGACGAAGAGGGAGTGGCACAGCGGCCGATGGCGCCCCGGCCGCGCGCTGCTGGCGAAAGCAGCCTTCTAGCGGGCAAAGCGCGCGGTTGAAAGGGAGAGTAAGGAGGGGGTGAGGGGGAGGGGGCGCTCTTGCGATATCCTTTCGAGTTCATTCACGCGGAAAAGCGTATAGTATATACCGGCGAGGCAAGGGGGCTGTTCGACCCTGGCGGGGCCCTCGACGGCGGCGCGGGGCTCGGCGGGCTAAAGGAGACGAAAAATCTTAGCGACTGCGCCTGTGCGCCCCGAGTTGTTTTATCGTTCGGGCCAAGTCGCGGCGGCGGAGCTGCAGAGGGGAGCGCGGCCAATTCAAAGCCGGCCTTGCACAGCGCCATCGAGAAAATAACAAGGGAATGGGGCGTGGTGGAGAGTGAGGGAAAGAGAAAGGGGGTGGTTGGGCAGAGTCAAGTGTAAACTGTTGTAGGTGGAGGAGAGAGATGATGCCTGCTGAATAAGCCGACGGACAAAATCAAAGTGGTAATGAATGAATGAAGGCTCTCTCGTGAATAAAAGAGTAGGTGAAGGGGTGGACCGGGCCGCCCCGTGCCTCGTGTCCTCGCCTCACGGTCAGTGCCCTCTCGGCGTCCGTCAGCCCGTTTCCTCCGCCCCGGCCAGGCGCGCCGAGAGTTCTCGACAAAGTCCTGAGGACTCTGCTGCCCGGCCCGCCGGACTCTACGCGCAGTGAGTGTATTACGATTTAATGAAAAGAGACTGGCCGGCTTCCCTCGACCCCGCCCGCGCGCCCCGCCCCGCCCCGCCCCGTTGGACCGGCATTCCATCCCGCTCTTGTATCCGCCTGCCTGCATCTTCAGCAGCTCAGAGGACTTAGAGACTACTGGCTCGCGTGCTGTGTCCCCACTTTGTACACTGCAACATGTCTACAAAGAACAGGTGCGACGTGCAAACTATTCGTAAGCTTACGAAGTATATTTTCATGCACTGCAGTATAATTGATGACTTATTCTGAGCTGTCTACGAACCAATAGTTCGTATAGTGACAATTGTTAACCAATTATTTCACATTATTCGAATTATTCAGCGTTGCAAAGAATTAAGTTAAACAAGTTCGTAATAATAGTCCAAAGCAGGGCCTAGCCCTTTGGACAGATTATTATTGAATAAAAAATAAATAAATATAAAGTGTATATGTAGAGCCCCGCTGTGCGTTGGCTCTACACTCTAAATGTCCAAGGACAATTTTTGTAACTAGCACCGGACTTCTGTGTGCATAACTAGCTCAGATACAATATTGTAACTACCAACACACATTTAGTGACTAGCAAGTCACAACATTGTATCTGAATTCAGTTATGCACGCAGAAGTCCGGTGCTAGTTACAAAAATTGTCCTTGACATTTAGAGTGTACATCACCACGATGCGCGTTGGCTCTACAGCATAGTACGTAGAAATGTTTTATTAGTTAGTCATGTAGAAGATAGAATAATTCCCGGAATCCATTCTTGTTCCCTCGAAAACAATAACCCATCGTCACACGTCGTGATGAAGTCATTACAGTTTCGTTACTTGCGTCTTAGCACTGTGGACGTGACTTGAACCATTCTCTTTTGAGGGGAGTTTATATTTTATTCGTGAAAAACAACGAAGTCAGGAACTCGTGACGTTTGATTAGGTCACGACGTGTAAACGGACCATTTTTTTACTGGTATAAAAGGAAGGTACCTGTAGTTGAGCACCAACACAGAAGTGCTCACCCCAGAATGAACCGCTTTATGATCATCTTCGCCGTGCTGGCCGCGATGGTGGTGAGAACCTAATATAACAGTAATGGGGCCAACCACTATTGAACTCATTGAACCGATACTTCAACTAAAGATACAATACAATAGGGGTCGTCGGAGTCAAGAGTTAGCTGCCAGAACAAGGAATTAGGTACACGGGTTCGCTCAAAGTCTAAATCAACAAAGACAACGTAAAATCGGTTTTTGCTCTTGACTCTTGTATCAAATTCGTTCCCTTCGGCTGACGACTGTTGGCTCCGCCCACTAATGTGATTATCAGCTGCAAGGGAATTATCTTTATGTGTAAGAGGGCTTTCTTATGCGACCGAGCGTAGTTTAAAAACTTTTTACCTCAACCTTTGGTTCTTGTGCAGGCCGCGCTGGCTGTGGCCGCGCCTTCCGACCCTGCTCCGCACAACCCCTTCAAGTTGGAGTGGACCCGCGAGCCCGGCAGCCCTACTCGGCGAAACACCATCAAGGTCGCCGGCGGCCAGCAGGTTGACACTACTCACGACGTCATCACCGGTCACATTTGCAGCGGCTGGCTGGCCACGGGTAAGAACGCGCACGAGTCCACGTCGCCCAAACGCGATGGCCAGCCAAGCACCGGCGGTGAGGCCTCCACCAAGAAGAGCAAGAAGGGCAAGGGCAAGGGCAAGTAAGCCGCGCTAGAAGAAAATCACAATAAAACGATGACATTGCTTTTGTACTGAAGAGTATGATTGGTGTTTCTGGACTAGTACTGCGGTTTCACCGACGCTACAGTTGAAGCTAATATACACAGGTAATAGTGGTATCTGTTGCTGTAGCTAGAATAGTCAATGGGACAATGGGACATGTTTTGACGAGCACTCGACATCATTTCTGGTAGTCAAGATGACTAAATTTACGTCCTGTTCGAAAATGGTCGATTTCTTGTTCGCTATGATACTCGCGCGTCGCGCGCTTTCCTTGCTCAGCAATAACGTGTTGGGTGTTTAGCCACCCCCTCGTTCTTGGGCCTTGGTTTCGACGAACGACGCGATATTGGCGAACATTGCTCCAGCTCTGATCGCCTGTTTTAAAATTTGAGGAATCCACAGAAAACAAATCAAGAAAAAAATATTGTAGAACTCCAATTATATCGCCAAATAAGGTTAAAGGCCGTATGGCGTTGACAGGCAGAGGCCTTAATATTATACATACTAACTCATCCATGTGTTTGAATTACGGACCTGAAAGGTTTACGGAGAAAGTGTACCACTATAATGCCTGATCGTGGTCAGCAGCAGGTGTATACAGCGCTATGATAATTGATCAGTGTATTTTATATCCGGTTTGGCGCACCCCTGATTATTTCACCTCTGGCCCTAAAAGTGGTGGCCTCTGCCTCCCCCTCGCTGGGACCGTTTCTGAATCCGCCCCCTGATTAGGGGAGAGTTAGGGTCGGCTTTGACTCGCCGTGAAGGGGTTGGGGCCGAATGTGTGTGTGTGTGTGTGTGTGTGTGTGTGTGTGTGTGTGCGCGCGCGTGTGTGTGCCCGTCCCCTTGCGCTGTCCCGCGCTGGTAAGGGCCTGGGCCGTTGGCGGAATGGGAAGGAGGAGTGAGGGAAAGCATTTTCAGCGTGTTTACCTGTACCACTCGGAACCCTTTCAATCCGCAACGCTTCCTTTGGGGCCGGGCCGGCCGGGCCGGGCGGGCCGGGCGCGGGGCGGCGAGACCGATCACGACCTCTGGGCTGGGGGTAGGGGTGGATGTGGCCGGCCGGCACGACATGTGCAGGGTGCAGGGTCCTGGACGCAGCGGGTCAACCTGGGCCACCGAGCAGGGCATCGCTCGTCCTCTACCTGATTCCCTTCTTATTTCTCGGATTTCATCTAGATGCCGTTTCTCATATCTCTTTTGCCTCGTATAGACAGATCGCAAATGCGTAATGCGTCACTCTATGACGCTAACGGTATGGCTTTTATTTTCTGGTTTTTACGAAATAAATAAAGCAACTGTATGATGTTGGCGCTCTGGAAAAAGACCTGTCTGCCCACCACGGACAGAGCGTTGCGCTGTTCGTTGGCGGTGGTATGGCCTCGTTGTATTGTTGTAACAACACTTTTCACCTCATCGGTGGGTGAGCCGGTCATTACTTTTGCTGCCGGACAGAACACCAGCATGGACATGACCACTGGCGCGGGCGTTCCGAGCGGGGCCGAGCGGGGCCGAGCGGAGCCGAGCGGCGGGCGCCAACTCGTTTATTTTCAACTCATTTACCCATCTCCCTGTGTGTGTTGCCAAAGAGACGCGGGAGGGGGGAAAAGGGGGGGCGAGGGACACGTGGGGAAAATAAGAGGAGCTGGTGAATGCCGAATAAGGGTCGGAGGGGGCGAATAACGCCAGGTTGGGGTGGGTCAGGGCATAGGGGTTTAAAAAGAGAGAGAGAGAGAGGGGGGGGGGATCGCTCCGCCCGCGCCCTTCCTCCGTCGCAACCGCCGGCGGCGGCCCCCTTCGTGTCTGAAAGTCAAGTGGCCGTTGTGCGGCCACTTTGCCGTGTGCACTTACGGCCGATCATATGCGTTTAGAATTGAGGGTGAAGTCGGGTCACTTCTGCACCAAGAACATGTAAAAGGTATTGATATCATATAGTTCGCATGGGGCGAAAAGCAGAAACATAATCGAATGCATTTCTGCGTGAGAACCCCATCTTAAATTTAGCACAGCTGCAATGTTAAAGTTGGCGTAACTTTTCTTGCCCCCTCCAAGAATAATAGAGCGGCGTATGTCTTCATCGCTCTAATTGGTGCTATATGTTTATGAAAACGACTCAAAATGAGTCTGCTTCCTAACCGTTATTGTCGCAAATACATAGAATTGGATTCAAAATATCGCTCTCCCAGCCCAATAATGACCTCCCTCTGACCTGCAGTCTAATCAATCATAGCCAATCAGTCAGTCAAACAGGTCGAGTACATGTGTGTCTGTACTTTTCCACCTTCGTTTCCATCCCGATGAACTTGAAGGCTTTGACGTGTCCAAAAGTTCGCGACAATTTCGTTCGTCTGAGTTTCACGCCACTGCGAGCGTCCCTCTGATGGAAGAGGAAAAAGCAAGGAGCTATCGGCGAGGGGGTCACAGAGAGAGAGAGAGAGTACGCCTGTTAATATTTCCTGTTTGAATCTTTTGAACCTCCTCCCGCCCCCATCTTACAAACAACACAGTCGTCCTCCCTCCCTCCCCCACCCCCTCCTCTTGTTGAGGTGCGGCCGGGCCGGCGCGCCGCCCGCGCCGCTCACAGCAGTCAGTAGCGCGCGTACCCTCGTCGAGGCAGGACCTTGCCGCGTCGCGCCGCGCCGCCCTCCCCGCCGCGCTGTACCGTGCCGTGTCGCCGCTCGCGCCCGCCGTGCCCGCCGTGCCTACCGTACCCACCGTACCCGGGTGGGTTGTCTTGCTCGGGGTGCTGACCATGCGACGACATCCATCGCGCGTCTGTGCCGGCGGCCGCCCCCGCGTCATCATGTGCAGTGCAGTGTAGTGCAAGTGTATATAGTGGTGAATAGTGAAGTGTGTAGTAGTGACCGGCGGCAGTGCTGCGTCCTACAGTGTGTCCCTGGAAGGAAAACTTATTACAGTGCTTTAACGCGTGGATTGCCGCTGTCTTTTGGATTAACCCGTGGTTCAGGTGAGCGGGAGAGACAAAGGTTTTTGTGCGCAGTGTCCGCGCGAGGATAAATTGTGTGTGCTGCTGTGTGAGGTGGTGGAGGGGGGAGGATGGTAAATGGTTGCAAGGGGTACAGCACGTGTATACCGTGTCCCCGTGCTGTGAATGTTTAGTTTGGCCGGTGACAGTGGTGATGACACGTACGGGCTTGCTGTATGCATATGTCGGGCAAGTGGCATTGGTCACAGTGGTCATTCCCGATCGTCGGCCATCGTTTGATAGGTTTGCATTTGCCTACGGTGGTAGTCGACGCGGTTTACCCATTGTGATTAATGAATGGACAAATTATGGATCCACTGACTCTTCAGGGGCCAGCGAGAGAGAGAGAGAGAGAGAGAGAGAGAGAGAGAGGGGGGGAGAGAATCGTTTTTCCTATTAGGCGGACTGCAGCCTACGTTGCACACTGTTAAATTCCTACAAAGCATTTGCTTTGCAGAGCTGCGAAATATTTTGCTCCTTTGTAACTGCAAAGCATTTACTTTGCAATTACAAAGTGATGCTTTGCAATTGCAAAGCAATGAAAACGCTACAAGGCATCGCTTTGCAATTGCAAAGTGTCACTTCGTAATTGCAAAGCATCAGTTTGTAATTGCGAAGTAAATGCTTCGTAGTTACAAAGGAGCAAAATACTTTGCAGGATTTTAACAGTGCACCTATACATTCCAGTGTTTTAAGGAACCAGCTAGGGAAAGAGTATGGAGGGGCTATTCCTTGCGCCTACTGATACCGGTTAACAACTTAATGACATGTGCCTAATGGAAAAGAAGAATGAAGCAGATTCGTGCCAAAACTTCCCCGGTGGTTCAAATTTTCCACCTCGAGATATCGCTCGCCAATATTATCGTGTTAAATTTAAATTTATTGGACAATTCTAAGTGGGCGAAAGAGGGGGGTGGGGGTGGGGGCTGCGGCCGCGACGGAGCCACTGGCGTGCTGGGGGGTTGGGAGAAGAGGGGGTGGGGCGGAAGGGGGCGAGTCTGATGGGGGAAAAGGTGGTGAGGTGGGCGCGGGCGCGGGCGCGCGGGGAGAAACCATTCCAGATGATGGCGTGATTTCCAATATTAGCTATGGTTCCAGGGCGATGCTTTCGGACCCCACCCACCGCCAACCACCTCTCTCTCCCCCACCCCCACCTCGCCACCACTCCTCGCTGCCATCCCTTTGGCCCTTCCTATTAGGCCGGGGTAACGCTCCCCTCCCTCTCTCGACGTCCAGAAATGATCTGCTTTCGCTGATTACGTTTTCTAATTGGTGTTTAGTCTCTGGAGTGGTGCGGCCTGGCCTGGCGGGGTCCCCCGGGCTGGCTGGGGCTTATTGAATGGCCGTTCTGGACTGCGGGCTGTGTCACCGGCCGGTGCGTCGAGCGCAGCCCGCCGCACCGCCTCGCGGCTTGCCATGTCGTTTGGTTTCGTGGTGCGGTGCGGTGCGGTACCGCCGGCGGCAGGTTGACATTCCCCGAATGGTCTTTGATGCATGCTCGGTGCTCCTCGGCTTGCCATCGCCCGCGCTGCGCCTCAGGACGACGGCTCGCCCGCCTGCGTTCTGGGGTGGTGGCAGCACCGGCGCACGGGGAATGACTGTATATCCCCCCCCCCTCTCTCCCGCGCTCTCAGCTCCGCCCGCCGTTTTCCGTCTAATTTTATCCCGACTGCTAAGGGACGCCGGACAGACAGACAGACAGACGGACGGGACGTTCAGCCATGTCTGGCATTATTAACTCCGAATATTGCCAGCAGGCCCGATCTCCGCATCGCATCGCACTCGGCTTCTGTCCCGCCCGGCTCTGCCTTTGCGGCGGCCGGCAGGCAGAGGACAGGCAGGCAGGCAGGCAGATGGCGTTCACACACATTCACACACACTCACACACTCACACATTCTCTCTCTCACACACACAAACACTTATTTTTCCTTATTTCAGTCTTTCATACACGTCGCTCCACCGCTGCTGCGCGAGACCGCAGCGAAATGAAAGAATTCATCCGCCGCCTGCCGTTTTGTCTGCCCTGTGCCCCCCTGGCCTGCCTCTGTCTCTCTCCTCTCTCTCTCCCCCTCTCTCCCTCTCTCTCCCTCTCCCCCTCTCCCCCTCCC